TCAACCCATTGCCATCAGCGGTAGAACAGTCTACGGAGAATAAGAGGAACAACATCAATTTGACAATAAAATTGATGGTGCGCACATGTTCAAGATTACAGACCTTTAGAGTAAATCTCCAGCCGAAATTGCCAAGCGTTTTAAATTCTGACAAGTCATAGATTCCTCACCACAATTGAAATGATTAAACAATGGGCTTAAAAGGAGAGGCATTCTTCAGCTCGCAAAGCAGCAGGAGTGGATTCGTGTTGTGAATCTATTGCTGTTAATCTGCCGAATGAACCAATTTGATGTCTGAAAAATATAATATTTTCTTTTAGAACAAGTCTTTCGGATGAGACTTTAAACCGAGGTCCCGTCTGCCTGTTCAGGTGGATGTTAAAGATCCAACGCGCTATTCGAAAAGAGTAGGGAGTTTCTCCGGGTGTCCAGTCCAACAATCAGATAAAATTGCTCATTGACTTCAAGGCTGTTTGTGGAACATCACTGCGTGCAAATTGATTGCCTTGTTTGCCAAGAAAATACATTTACAGTAAAATTCTGTGAAGGCCATTGAGATGTCCACTTGACGTAAAAGGCGCTATATCAAATTCAAGGATTATTATTATTGTTATACCAGTGTCCTAAGAGAGAGACCTTTCCACCTCTCAGGATTTTCATGTCAAGCTTATTCATCTTGGATGGAAAATTTCTCATGCTCTTAGCCTTTTTTGTGCTTTTCAATGCTGTCTCTTGCATGAAATAAGTTTAGCCACTTTGTAAAGAATATCTTAATTCTTGTATTTGATACAGAGCCTTATCATGTCTTCGAAACATCTCAAAGCACTTCACCGAATGTACTGTAAAGTGGAGAGACTGTGTATTTTATAAGGAAACGTAGAACTGCAATGACTCACAAACAGCTATGAAGTCAATGACCAATTTAACTGGGGGATTGTTGGCCAGGACGTCAGGAGAAACTCCTTTCCGTTTTTGAGTTCCATCGTGGAATATTTAACGTCCACCTGGACAGGCACGTGGGATCTCAAGTTTAACGCCTCATGTGATGCATGACACCTCTGACATTGCAGTACTGCTTCCTTGCACTGCACTGGAGCATCAGTTTAGAATGTGAGTGCAAAGTCTTGAACCCACAACCTTCTGAGGCGAGGCTCTCAGAGGTGAAAGCGCCTTCGACTGAGTCAGGCTGACAACTTAGCAAAAGAAGTGGCAGCGTTTAATTTTTCTTAAGTTTTCAATGGAAACAAATTGATCCCAAACCTTTGCTTATCTGGCAATGAGGGACCTCTGAACCCTAACGCCTTCTCTTGCAACTCACAAAATACAGATCCTATTGTTCATGATGACAGATTATTCTGTAGCACCGTGATACCCGATATTATGATTAGTACAATATAGTGAAAGCCAAGAAACGTGAACTCAAAGAACCGGCTCAAATGCTTGAACTTTGTTCTATTTCTCATTGACGTTCCAGAAAGGCAGCTGTGCAGCTCAGACAGCTACAGATGTTTGGTGTGGCTGCTTTTGCAGTTCAGGTTTTGACTCCCAGCCAGAGGTTCGTGAAGTTTCAGTTCCAGATTGGCCTCTGCCATGAACCCGGTTACCTCGATTGGCGAAGTTTCTTCCCTCCTCATCAGAGACAATTGACTCCATTCTTGAGTCATCTCGATGACTAGCGTGGGAGATGTTCAAAACACAGACTCTTCACAGCATATTTTGTATGACAGTGGTAGCATGCTCGCCTCTGAGTCAGAGGTTGTGGGTTCAAGCCCCACCTCGGGACTTGGAATTGCATTGTCTAAGCTGACACTCCAATGCAGTGCTGTGGGTGTTTTGCATTGTCGGAGGTAACGTTCTTCGGTTGAGAATTTAAACCGAGCTCCCGTCTGCCTGTTCAGGTGAATGTTAAAGATCACATGGCACTATTCGAAAAGAGAAGGAAGTTTCTTCCACTATCCCCTAAATAAAAAAAACTGGTGACTCACTCCATAGCTGTTTGTAGGACATTGCTCTGGGCAACTGGCTAACACATTTCGTCCACAAAATACAAAGTCAATCCGCTTTACAGTATATCGGTAAAGTGCTTTGAGAGATCTCAATGATGTGATAAGGCACTATATCAAATGAAAGATTTTTAATACTGACAATAGAAGCGAGGCTGAATCCTGCATGCTTTCTCTACCTCCCCCTTCAGCCCCTCTCACTCACTCAGCTTAATGTGACACTCATCAGCTTCACTGACTTCATGTAAATTGTGTAGTTTAATAGTTTCCTCTCTACGTTGCTGGCAAAAGTCAGTCTTTTTGACATGAAACCAATGTCGCCCACTTGACTTAAGTGGTTCTCCTGTTTATTGGTTCCCTGGTTTAATAGTATATTGTACAAGCTGTTTGCTGTAGGTAACATTCTCTTTGCGAAGCTCTTGAGTGGGTGTGATTTGGTGATCAAGGTCAGCAATGTACACATCAGATGTGCCTGTTGATTTCCTATTGACATCTCCCACAGAATGGCGTTCTGTCCATTGCGTCACAATTAATCAAAGGCGATCTTACGTGGCATGGGATGAAAATGTGTGTAATTGTGACTAATGACGAGGAATTTTTGGGGAATAAACAAAATGCGGGAGGGGAGGTTTGCACATCTGGATGGGCTGGGGAATCTGACGTCACATGTGGATGATTTTAGTGTGATACTGTAGGTTTGGATGCGCAAAATTCTGATTTATGCTTCTTTACTAATTCTTTGGACCTCTTGCTCTCAGCAGCGCAGGATTCTGATACTCTGTGATATGCCGTTCAATGTTTGATCCTGTTAGTTGTAACCTTCTTTTTTTCCTATTTATCCTCCATGCTCACCTGCCCACACAGTAGAGGGTTGTTCTACAATTCATCCATCAGTAGTGTGAACAATGGGGAGCCCTTGGCCAGACCAATGACTTACTAGATTTGATCAAGAAGAGTTGGGAGCTCAAGGAAGGTGATGGTAATCCTTCAGGTCAATGCCCGCCACCTCCGCTCAGCAAACACATGCCTGCTGTGGTTCCCTCGCCCCTTCCTTGCCACTATCAGTGGCCGAGACATAAACCACAATCTCCGAACATCCCTGTCACTATCATTCCACCTCGCTCCCTTTTTATCTATCTTTAAATCCCATCTGAAAGCCTCCCTTTTCAATCGCTCCTAGGTGTCAGTCTCTACTGTGAATTCAGAGTTTTGACATGAGGTCTGAACTCACAATCTTCTGACTCAGAGGCGAGAGTGCTACAACTGAGCCATACTGACAGACTCGGCTGCTCCCTCTTGAAGTCATTGAAAGTTTGGTCTGTGGTGTCCTAACATCTCCGCAGTCCTAATTCTCACAGACCCAACTGTCACCACTCTCTCCAAGTCCATTCCACTTCAGTTGATCTCAACAGACTTCAGTTAATCTGAGGAGTCCTGTAGCTCAGTGGTTAGAACATTCGCCTCGCAAGCGAAACCTTGGGCAAATTTCCTTACTCCGCATGCCTGATAATAATTCCTCAAGAAAAAAAACAAAATAATTTGGTCACTCAATCCAAGACTGGGGACCTTTTCATAATAATAATCATCATCATCCTTGCATTTGATACAGCACCTTATCACATCATTGAGACATCTCAAAGCACTTCATAGAATATGCAGTAAAGTGAATTGCGGGCTTGACAGGGTTCATCCTTGGTCCCTGTCCTGCACTGTGGCCTTTTGGTTCCTGACCTGCAGAACATCTCTCAAATTGAAGAAAGTGATATTCTCCAACAATTTTGTAGCGCCTGTTCTTATATTTTTTAAAAAGTCTCTGTAAAAGCATGCTTTTACACTTACATAGAACGTTCCATTGAATGACTCGTGAACGAGAGCAAGGCTGAGTTTATGGCTCGGCGAGACTAAGCGATCACCAAAGGAGGCCTTGAGTTAAAACTCATTGGACCATCACTGAACAAGGTAAACCACGAAGCAGAAATAAGTTTCACAGCGCAAAAATTTGAGCAGCCAACCATATGTGTGTCTTGGCAGGGGAGGGAGGGAGGGAGAGAGGTGGGTGGGGAGGGCAGGATGGGAATCGTTTCCTGGGGCTGTTGGCCACAAACTCATCATGTGCATAGCAGAAGTGACCACACATGTGCTCTAAAAATTGTTCAAGTGTGGTTTTTGCATTGAGCTTTGGGTTCAGGTCCTGGTTAAGTCAATTGCTTAAAATGCGTCGGAGGTGGCAGATACTTTGCAAGACTTTCTGCAAATGAAAGCCATATCCTCACAGCAATCCAGCAACTACAGGGATTCTTGGGGACAATGTGATGANTTTTTTTTACTGTCAAGTTAAGGTTTTTTTCCCCTTCTTGAACATGTTAAGCCTACCAGCTTGACAATGGGGTGTCAGCCTGGCTTGATTGGTAACATTCTTGCCTCTGGGTCAGACGGTTGTGGTGTCAATAATAATAATAAATGATAATAACGCCCTGCATCTGGACATCAGCGCATCGTAGAGAGCTCCATCCAGGCTGACAGTCTGGATGGAAGGTTTTAGGTGTTATTCTTTGGATGAGACTTTGAATTTAAACTGGCTGCCTGTTCAGATCCCATTTGAAACTTGAAGGGAGTTTCTCCAACCGTCCTGGCCAATAATCCTCCAGATAAACTGGTTGCGGCAAACACTGGCCTGCTTCATGTGCCTCGCCTGTTCCACCACAACTTTGATGGATGAGCTTTCAGCTACTTTGCCCCCTGCTCTCTGGAACTCCCTTCTGGAGTTTCTCTGTCTCGACCACTCCCTCCCCACTTTTAAAGCCCATCTCAAGATCTATCCCTTTGACTGCACTTTCAGTCATCTTTCCTTTGAGGCCACCTCCCAACTGTGAAATGTGCTGTATAAATGTAAACTGCATTATATTGACTGCGGGACATGACATTGTTCTGCTGCAAATTGGTGTGCCTGAAAACACAGTCACTACACTTGACAATAATTCATTTTGAAGCAATTGGTGCCATATCAAAAGCAAGGATCTTTATTATCATTTAGATTTTCTTGAAGGAGATGGGGCGAGAGGAGGTGGGGGGAAGGTTGGTTAAAGGGAAAGTTTTCACACCCCACCTGACCATCTAAGAGTGTTGTCACTTAGTGGCGCAGGAGGTTGGAGTTTACTCTGCAGGCTCTGTGGCAATGTTATTTGGGGCGCTGGGAGATTGCTGATCTCATCTGAAGTATAATTGTCCACTTTAGCTGACACACAGGAGAGCCTGAGATTCAGCAGTTGTGCAGCTGTTGAAATTTAAGAAGCCGCTTGGAAACCACACGCCAAATTAAGTTAAGTGTCTCTCAGTTGGAGCTCCTTTTCCCCTTTTCATAAAATCCAATGCAGTTTATGGTTAGAGTGCTTCAACGGTTTAGAAGAGTTTTTCCAAAGGCCTGCGTTGGGGAGGGGGGGCTAGACAGAGAAAATGGACAGTGATTAATGTCATTCTATTTTGGAGGCTCTGCATTTGAGCAGATGAGATCTTCTTTCACTTAAATAGTTAAGGCCTGTTGTAGCATTCATGTATGGCTTATGATTGATGATTGAATCATGGCATTGCAGATAGGGTGTGTGTCTCTAATTCCACTTGGGTGTACAGTGCTGACTTGAAAAACAAAAAAAACAAGCAAATTCCGCCCCTCACTCCTACTCACTGGTTAAGGTTATCGAAAAGCAACAGATTTGCAATTCCTTCCTGATTGACTTTGTATCCTCCGAGGCCCAAAGGTTGGCAGCAGAAGTGTTTAATTGAGTACTAATGATTAGTCTTGCCTTGAAGAAGCTATTTAAGTCAGCCGGGTTAGCTAACTGTCAACATGCTATACTGATGGAGCCTTGCTTTTAATTCGTATTGGAAACATAATAATTCTAAACATTGATTCCAGCAAGGTGACTGATCACTTGAATTTGTTAATAAATAATAAGCCATGAATGCCTCTCACCTCGGGAGGACATCTCAAAGTGCTTCACAAAATTTACTGTAAAGCGTGATGACTGTGGTGAATGTGGCAAACAGTTTGCGGACAGCAAAGTCCCACAAATAAGATGAATCATCAGTATTATCTGTAGCATTGTTGGGCAGGATCACAATTTTGAGTTGATTTTTGAAATGTGTTCCAGGGTCCTGACCTCTACAGGCCTTCGTTGTAACCCTTTTCAGTCATTAATTACCCTCTGAGTAAAGAAAATCTTCCTGGTATCAGTCCTGAGATTGCCCTTTACAGCTCCAAACCTGTGTCCTCCAGTTCTATTGTCTTAGTACATTACTGTTTATTAGTTACAATGGGCTGAGTTCAATGAAAGAACGGTAAAAAGAAAATCTACCTGGCTCTAGATTTACTCTATTTTCATTACATTTCAGATTGGTCTGCATTTTTACAAATTCTTAACATCAGCCTTCAGTTTTTTTTTAAGATTTTTTTTGTTAACTATGACAGTGGGGATTCACCGAGCAGGGAGAAAGGGAGAGGGAACGTAAGGGTGTTGACCACAGGCACGGCCAAAGGGATCATTTTTAAAGGCAGGAAGAGAAACCCTGGGTAATGGGATTTGAAGAAGTCGTGTAGAGTATTGGTTAGAGCACTTGCCTCGCAAGCGAGAAGACCTGGGTTTGATTCCTGACCAGGTTAAAACCTTACACAAGTTTCCTTACTCCACACACACACCTCTAGCAGTAATTAGGAACCTGGTTGTTAGTCAATTGGAGGTTATAATCCCTCAAAATCTTTTTTTTTTTAAATGTGGTCACTCCTTCCACTGCTGTTTGTGCGACATTACTCTATGCAATTAGCTGCCGCGATTCACCCACAAAATTCAGTCAATCCAGTTTGCAATATATTCTGTGAAGCACTTTGAGACCTTTCAATGATATGGTAAAGCGCTATATGAATTGCAAGGATTATTATTATTATGAGCGCATGTCAATGATTGCGAGAGGGGTTCGGTTTAGAGCCCTGGTGTTCTTGTTTATCTGCAGCTATTGGATGGGAACTGGTGAAAAAAGAAACCATTTGTAATGCAATAACATTTAGAAAAATGAGTTCAACGGGAATCCCTACTTCAGGGCTATCATCCACAAGGGTATGAACTGTTCGGGGATATCCAGCTGTTTCTCCACACAAACGATCTCCAGTCCAGTCTTTGCAATGATCTTCCTTAAAATCTCGATCTCCCGGATCATGCTGCTGTCCATTTGGTCGAGGATGCAGCCCTTTCTAGCAACATTATCTTTAATGATCACAACCCCATTGTCCTTCAGACTGTTCTTGCATTTTGCTAAGAACTCCATCAGGTCTCTGTCAGTCAGGTGTCCTGCAATGAAGATAGAATTTGAACTTTATTAGCAAACCTTTACAGTACTCTTTGTAAAGTGTAGTGACTTTTTTGTAGGTAAATTCACCTGTCAGATACACAGCACTACACTTTAAAGTATCTCCTGTGAAGTACGGTGAGATGTCCTCCTTATATGAAAGCACTATATCAAATGTAAGGATTATTATTAATAGGAAATGTGACAGCCACATGCATCAACAAAGAGCTCCAAACAGCCATGAGATGTGTGACCAATTAAGTTGGAGGATTGTTGGCCCGGACACCAGGAGAAACTCCCTTCTCTTTTCAGTGGTCTCATGGAAAAAATAACGTCCAACATCAAAAACCTGGATAACATTCCCTTGCTTTATCCCACATGGCAGCAGAAGTGAATCCCAGCTCTGGCTGGGCAAGGCTAACCAAAAAAGCAGTAACAAACCTTTAAACCTGTGTACTGTGCACTGCATGCTCTTGCACCTCCCTATCTATCCGATTTGCTTACCCCCCACTGCCTCCGCTCGGCCGGCTCTGGCCACTTGTTTGTCCCTTGCTCACTCCGCTCCACCACTAGAGGCCGTACTTTCAGCCACTATGCCCTGAAGCTCTGGAACTCCCTCCCTCAATCCCTACGCCTTGCCCCCGTCTCCCTTCTTTCAAATCCCTCCTTTAAACCTTCCTTTTGATCGTGCTCACAGTCACCTGCCCCCTCCCTCTCCCCCTGGTTTGGGGTCAGATTCGGCCACTGTCAAACACTCCAGGACGCTACCCCACGTGAAGGGAGCTATATAAATGCAAGTTGTTATTGCTGTACTGTGGAATCCAAGAGCAGGTTCGAAGCAGTGTGATGTCATTTGAGCTCCTCCACTTGTCACGACACCTACAAATACACAAAGATATTCCTGACCACGGCAGAGTATTTTGATGTTGTATGATTGGGAGATGTCAGGTTTTGAAGCTTTCAAAGTAGTATGGATCCTCAGTGTTGGGTTTTGTGGCCAGATTGATTGCTTGAATTGCAAAATTACATGACTTTAAACCACCACGTAAGAGGCTTTTGGAGGTAAGGACGAGGAGTGAGGAGAACAATCACGTGCGGTAACCTAAGCTGATTGTCTCCTCTCTTCACCTACAAGATGCTGAGGCCAATTTACACTGTCAACATAAATAAGAAGTGACGCCAATCAGCGTAGAGAAACGTGATCTCAAAATGTCTTAGTTTGTAAGCCGCCATTAGTCGCTTGTGCTGCTTTCAACAAGAACATTTATTGAATGATTTTATTGATATTTACCAGGCCGAATAAAACATAAAACCTGCCCTATAAATGGGTAGTGTTGAATCTGTGGGACACTGCTGCCTCTTTTGCCCACAAAATTTACAAGTAATTCACTTTACAGTACATTCTTTGAAGTACTTTGAGAAGTTACTATGACGTGAAAAGGCACTATATGCAAATGCAAGGATTATTATAATTATTATAATTGCGTTGACTTGACTGCTGGGCAATCCGACTGGGACTCACCGGTTACCCACTGGATCCAGATAACATCGTACATCCCAGTGGCGGGAGTGAATTCCTGTAAGGTAGAACAGTGGTAGTTCTTCACCTGGCTCGCCCCCATTCCCAGGTAAGAAGGAGCTGCAAACAAGAAGTTGTCAATCATGTCCACCATGTCCACCGAGGAGAAGACGGGCAGGAGGACCTGTCGGGAGACTCTTCCGATCCCGCAGCCACAGTCCAGGGCGAATTCTGTGTCAGCCTTTCCTGGGCCCTGACAGAATTGAAGACACAATGATGGCCATTGCGGATATCACTGCACAATCATCACTGATGTGCAGCACCTTACCTGTACTGCATCTTCCAACTCTTCCCAACACTATATAAATATAGTGGTTGGACTTTCAGCTCCTTCCCTCCTCCCACCCCCAACACACTTTCTGGAACTCCATTCGCAGACTGACTTTGCTTTGCCCCCTCCCTCGCCTCCTTTGAGGTCCATCTCAAGACCTTCCTCTTTGACTGTGTCTTTGGTTATCTTCCCCCCCGGCCCTGTCTTTCAAATTCCAACCTCCAGCGTGGGTACAAACTCTCAACGACCCAGTGCTTCGTGACGTCCCCCGCTATGAAAAGCACTATATAAATCCAATCTTGTTGTTATTTACTGATCGCAGAGCATGGACTACTAATGTGCAACACCTTAGCTGCACCAACAGCACTAATGTACAACACTTTGCCTGTACTGACACACACCACATAGCTACTTATATTGACAGAGCACTGCACTTACTGAATGTCAATAAACTATTTTGGACACGACACCTGAAAGGACCCATTATGGGAACAACTGACATGAATGTGCACATGGTTGAACCACATTGAATTTGCCCCAGCGTAACCACAAGGATAATTTTCTAAATGTCGAATAACCATCAGAAAGCCAAATGTGCTGCAAGTCCTGGTCAATGACAAACGCTGAGTTAACAGGCGAGTCTGCACTGTACATCCCAACCAACTCAGCATGACTCTGACACAATTTCCTGTCATTATCGAGTGAGTGGTCACTTTATACAGTGTCAATATCTGCAGCTCCTGGACTCCGCTACTGTCATTTGGGTAGTGGAGGTTGCAGAAATACCTTCCTAATGACTTCTCGTCTGTAAAGCATTGTCTTGCACGAAGTTATCAGATCTTCTTGGGTGAGCAGAAAAATGTTTTTCTGCAATTCTTGAAAGTGTAATCCATATCTAGCCCATATTACACTGACCTGGAAGAGGCTGATGACAACATTGGGAGCTCAATAGTGGAAAAGTCTTCCATTCGTCAACATTGGCATTGCCTAACTTGTGCACAAAATTCAGAATCATTTGAAAAGTAAATGAAATGCACTAGCTCCCGCAATGAGACCTAGAGCTAAGTGACACTTTCTTCTACGTTAAGAGCAGTATTGATTTTAACGTAGGGTCCAGACATTTAGCGCCAATACAATGAATGTTGGCTACCTGGCTGTAAACCATTGCATTGGACTTACTCCTACAAACTTCTTCAGGAATGCCCTGGAGGCCTCCACGTCTAAGCTGTTCAGTTCCACAAAGTCTCCCATCATCCCCTCCTCTGTCGCTGGTACCTCTTCATAGAAACGTTTCGCTTTGGCGTAAAACTGCATTTCACCCCGAATCACTTCACTGGTCAAAGTGAACAGTTTCACTGGAAAAAGGAATTAGGAAAAAAAATACAAATAAAAATACAGTCTAACCTATTTACCAAGTTAGTCACTTAACATTTTCATTCTTTGTTCCTTGCTGTCTTGCTATCTTTCCCACCCTCTCTATCTTTCACTTTTCCTTTCTCATTCTCTCCCTTTCAGTCTCCTTGTTGTCTCTTTTCTTGAATGAGGTGAGGGAAGGAGTCAGATGGACTATCACAAGCCTGTGTTCTGGTCTCTCTAAATCTCTATAACAAATTCTCTATAATTATGTTTTCCTTTGAAAATGCTTAGAAAATGAAGCCCCACATCAGGACTTTGAGCTCACAATCTAGACTGACACTGCAGTGCAGCACGACAGTGGAGCTCTGCAGAATTTGCTTCCTTCAGATGAGATGGTAAACTGAGGATCAGATTGTTCAGGTGGATGTTAAAGATCCCGTGACACTATTGGAAAAGAGAAGAGAGTTTCACCCTTTGTGCTGGCCAACAATCTTTCAGATAAATTGATTATTTCTCACCTGGTCCTCACCTTCAAGGCCCTCCACGGCCTTGCTCCCCACTACCTCTGTGACCCCCTAACCCCCTACCATCCTGCCCACTCTCTCCGCTCAGTGGGCTCTGGCCTCCTTCACGTCCCCCGCCTTGCCCGCCCCACCATTGGCTGGCTGGCCTTCTGCCACTCTGCCCCACCCTTTGGAACTGCATCCTGCAGTCCCTCTGCCTCACCTCTTCCTGGCCTCCCTCAAGACCAATCTCAAGATCCTCCTCTTCGATCACCCTGCTTCCCCCCTTGCTCTCCACCATCCCCAATCCCGACCCCCAGCTCGGGTTCGAAACACTGACTGTCCAGCACCTTGGGATGTCCTCCCAACGTGAAAGGCGCTATACAAATGTAATTTTGTTGTTGTGTTTACATCCCGACTGTTTGGGACCTTGTGGTATGTAAATTACCTGCTATATTTGCCTAAAAAATATATAGTCGTTACACTTGACAGCAATTACTCATGACACATTTTGACATTGTTATAGGCGCTACATCAAGTGCACAGATTATTATTTTCCTCAGTATACTGGGTGCTGGTAAGCAATCCAATGATTACTGGACTTTTCACTGAAATAAAAATGAACCTGACCTTTAAAAAGGAGATGGGAAAGTTGAGTGCTTGGCAAGTTGGTTGGCATTGATTCATCGCTCGGGTTCTCCAGCTCTGCATGGTTGTTTTTCCAAGGAAAGTGTTTTATAAACTCATTTTTGAACCCTTTGCTTTACTCTCCCCATGTGAGCAGACAGAATCTGCCATCGAAATGGAAGTGCTCCATCAATCCACACAGCAAAACCACATGAGGCTGCCCAGTGGTGCTGGCCTGCAAAGTAGATCTTCTTGTGTAATGTTTCAGTTTTTGGATCTTTATTGAACACACTTCTTTACTGCATTATTTTCCGTTGTGCCTCTTATTGCAGAACATCACAGTCAATTCAGTGTAAGTGAGTTGTTCCACAGGGCAATAGCTCAAAAGAACCTTAACGTAGCTAGCTGATGGGACAGGGTGTTGGTGCTTAAGTGTTTACCAAGTAAACTAATAATTCTTTTGTTTGATATAGAGCCTTCTAAAGTCATCAAAATGTCTCAAAGCGCTTCAAAGGATTTATTGTAAAGAGTAGTGATTATGTATTTGTAGGCAAACACAACAGTCAATTGCACATATCAATGCCCCACAAACAGCCATGAAGTGAACGACCAAGGAATTGCTGGTCAGGACACCAAGAGAAACTTCCTTCTCTTTTTGAATCGTGCTGTGGGATCTTTAACATCCACCTGGGGGACAGGACCTCACTTTAACATTTCATCTAAAGAACAGTACCGTCCATAACACTCCCCAGCACTGAACTGAAGTGTCATCCTAGACTACGAGTTCAAAGTCCTGATTTGGGACTTAAACCCACAGGATTTGCTAGTTCCTATACCCCAGGGCAGCCCATGTAACATCTGAAGGCTATGGTCATGGGCATGAACGTAGATGGTGTGTGCAACCACAATAATGGCATCACTGTCAGTGGAGTGGATTCCCGTAGCGTAGTGGTTAGAGTACTCGGTTCACAAGTAACAGGATCCAAGCTCGATTTCCAAGCAATCAAGACCTTAGGTTAGTGAGCTTACTTATGCATTTGGATCACCAAAGTCCCACAAACAGCAATCGGGTGAGTGATACATTATTTTGGAGCATTAGGACACTGGGAAAAACTGATTTCTTAAATAATGTCACAAGTATTTTTAAGAGCCACCTGAAAAAGAGGCAGACCTCAGTTTAACATCTTATTCAAAGGACAGTACTGTACCTCTGACAAAGCATTATTCACCGAGTAATGCACAACCTTAACAATTAATTCATGTCCTATGTAGCCCTTAAACCCACAATCTTTAGACCAAGAAATGAGTCTTTACCAACTGAGCCAAGCTGACAAAAACATTTCTGTGATGATTTTGTTGGCCATCTAAAAAAAGTTGACCACCTTTTTAAAGACAAATGGAGAGGTGGCAAGGAGGAGGATAGAAGTAGGGAATTCCAGAGGTGAAGGACATTATGACTGAAGGATCGGCCACCGATAGTGGTGCAGAGGGGTTGGGAAAGGGTTGTGTTTCCCAGTAATCCACAAACTTGATTCCCTTCTGCACACCTTCTTCGTAACCAGTTTTCGAAGCTGACTATCTTGTTCATTTTTTCCACAATCCCAGATTATACATGTGTGAGTGAATTGCCTTGAGCAGGAGCTGTATTTAATGCTGAGTTTTTTGAGACTATAAGTCTATTATCCTCACAGGTTAGATAACAACAACAAAAAAATTACATTTATAGAGTGCCTTTCATGTCGGGAGGACATCCCAAAGCACTGAAGTTAGGTGTCAGGGATAGATAAGAAAAATGCAGGAGCTTTAAGAATCCCAGTTACTATCTTTAACTGTGGAATTACTCTGTCTCTTCTGCAGATTCCTGCTAGTTTAATATTTTAAATAAGAGGTGTTGCAGAATTAATGTTTGGAAACTATTCTAACAACAACAACTTACACTTGTAAGAACGGTCAAAGAGGAAAGTCATCGGTTGTGATCTAAAAGAGGGGAAAGAGTGGGCAAGGTGGAGGGATTGAGGGAGATAATTCAAAGCATTGTGGCATAGTGGCTGAAAGAGTGGCTGCCGATGGTGAAGCCAAGGGGCTGATCAACCAGGGAGAGCGGATGTGTATCTCCTTAACCTTGAGATATGATGATGGCATTGAAGCATCTTCACTGCATCTTTCACTGTGCTATACAGAGTGCACTCAATGACCGAAACATGTGCTCAAGGCATTGCCTTGGATTGTCAGCCAGCCAAGTGTGTGGGATGCATTCACATTTCAGTCACTGGGCATATACGCAGCTCATAATGGCTCCCAGATTTTGCTTGTGAGTACCTACGATTGCCAACAATAAATATTTTGCTCTTGTCTTGTCAAAAATCATGGAAAAATAGCATCACTAACTCAATGGTAATAGCAGCATTGTACGAGTTACCGTGAGTGAAGCAAGAACATTAATGTACGACAGCTGAAAAACAGTTGTGATGACATTCACAGAAGGATTTAACACCTGATTGTGATGTATCAGCAAAGAAAAAGATATACATTATGTCAAATGCAATACTCTTCTTCTGGGATTTAATTTGGTCAGCCGGGTGCCTGACACATGCAGAAATCCATTACCATGCTTAAGAGTATCCGAACCAGATTAAGAATTCCACATATGTGTACCACCAACACATGGAAATTTCCTTGTGTCTGGAAAGGAATGTGCCCGCTCTCCCCAGAGGAACGGACTCTTCTGCAGATACCTGCTAGTTTAATATTTTAAATAAGAGGTGTTGCAGAACTAATGTTTGGAAAGTATGCTAACAATAACAACTGCACTGATATAGCACTCTTCAGGTGGAGCAGAATCACAGAGCACTTAGCAGTAGCGGAGCCTGATGCCGAATGGGGAGAGGGAGAAGCTGAACGTAAGCACATTCAGAGAGGAAAGTCTTTGGTCGTGATCTAAGAGGGGGAATGAGAGGGCAAGGCGGAGGGATTGAGGGAGAGAGTTCCAAAGCATCGGGGGTGTAGTGGGTGAAACAGTGGCCAGCAATGGTGGAGTGGAAGGGTTTAACACCTGATTGCGATGAACCAGCAAAGAAAACGGTATTCGTTATGTCAATTACCGTCCCTCTGGGTTTTATTTTTGGTCGGCCGGGTATCTGACACATGGAGAAATCCATCACCATGTTTAAGAGAATCCAAACCAGATTAAGAAGTCCACATATGCGTAGCACCAACACATGGAAGTTTCCTTGCGTGTAGAACGGAATGTGCCCGCTCTCCCCAGCGGAACCTACTTTGCTTACTTGATTCTGGAGAGAATTGGGCTCAGGTTGGCGAGAGCCAAGGCTTGGGGAACCCCACACTGTGGTATTGGGCAAATGCTGGAATTCAACCAGTTGAACTGAATATTATCATTAAAAGCAGTGTCTGGCAGCCTTCCCGTTGCTTGCCTAGCTAAAAATATCCTGCTCCTTAGGGCTTTGGCTTTCAGGGTTAACTGGAGCCAAGTGGGAAAAATCTCTGTTCCCAGTTTGCTTCACGTAACATCCAAAGAAGTGAGTGGGTACATGGCTGTGATACAACATACTACAATAACTCTGTGCTAAGAGACATAGTCAATAGAGCAGTTTGGGATATGATACAGTTATAGTGTCTGCTTTTTGTGGATCTTAAAGCTCAGTGCTGCTATCTATTTGTACACCCTCTATTTTATCTGCCTAGTGATCTATGATGCTGAAATATTGGTGCCTTGAGAGATTCAGGCAATGTTCATTTCAAAAACATGTATATCCATTTGTGATCTAGCACTACCAATATGGCAAAAAGTCTCACAGAAATTTACAGTGCAGAAATAAGCCATTTGGCCCATAAGGGATAAAAATTCCACCCAGGTCTAGATTTAAATTCTTAGCTTTTCAGAGCATCTAGAATTTGTCAAATCTTTAAATACAGACTTAATTTTGAAATCGCTTTTCTGAATCTTCTTTTAAGACTTGCAGAAAAATATCTTCAAAACTAAGAGTAAATGTAATAAGTCTTATCCTATATCTTACCTAATCCTTGCCTTTGATATAGTATCTTTCACATCGGGAGAACATCTAAAAGTGTTTCACAGAATCCACTGCAAATGTAGGGATTGTGCATTTTGCAGGCAAACACAACAACCAATTTGCACACACAGCAATGACTCACAAACAGTCATGAAGTGAATTGACCAATTTTATTTGGGGGATTTTGGAAGAAACTTCCTTCTCTTTTCAAATAGTACTATGGGATCTTTAGCACCCATCCGAACAGGCAGACGGGGCTTCTATTTAACATCTCAACCAAAGCACGGCACCTCCAACAATGTAGTGCTTTCCATCACTGCACTGGATTGTTGGCTTAAACTGTGAGTTCAAAGTCCTAAAGTGTGGCATTTTTACTCACAATTTTCTGATTCAGAGGCGACAGTGCTATCAAATGAGCCAGGCTGACAGACTGAATTCATAGTCACTTTACAGTATATTCTGTGAAGCGCTTTGAGACGTCTCGAAGACGTGATAAAGCGCTATATCACATGCAAGGATTATTATTTTCCAAATTTTGTCAGCCTGGTGCAGTGGTAGCACTCTCATCTCTGAATCAGAAGGTTGTGGATTCAAGCCCCACATTGGGACTTGGAAACACATAGTCTAAGATGACACTCCATTGCGGTGCTGGGGATGTGCTGAATCGTCAGAGGTGACGTCCTTCAGATGAAACGTTAAACCGAGGTCCAGTCTGCACATTCAAGTGGACGTTAAAGATCACATGGCATTATTTGAAAAGAGAAGGGCGTTTCACCCTGTGTGCTGGTCAACAATCCCCCAAATAAAATAGATCACTCACTCCACGGAAGTTTGTAGGACACTGCTGTGCGCAATTGGCTGCCTCATTGGGCGCGCAAAATACACAGTCAATCCACTTTACAATCTAGCGTGTGAAGCGCTTTGAGACGTCTCAATGACATGAAAGGTGCTGCATCAAATGCAAGGATTATTATTATTATCAAGTGGAATTTCCCCCCCATAGCCATATATGCCTGTGCTTGCTCTCCCAATCAATTCCCCTGCACTTCCATTATCATTTCAAAATAATTTTCCCTGCAGTATTTGTTCCATTTTGTAAAAAAAGAGAATTCTGTTATCAGAAACACATTTGACCTTATTGTGAATATTATTATTATTTCTGGATAAGCTTACAATAAAACGGAAACTCTGCATTCCCTAATCAGCTCACCCCCATGGATGTAACCAGACCCCGAAGGTCCCCAGTCGGGAACTCACCCAAAGGCAGGTTCTCCAGCAAAAAGAGGTAGCTCTCAAAGAAGTCACTCCTGATGGTTTTGTGGAGATCGAAAGACATGCTGTAGCGGCACAACTCGTCGTATGTCGCACCCCATCGCGACTTGAAAGCGTAATGGGCTCCTTTCCACTCCTCTGTGGTTTCCCCCATGTTGTGCCTGACTTTCCCAGATCGCAGATGCACTCTCTCTCTCTCTGTGTGTGTGTGTGTCTGTCTGTCTCTGTCTGTGCACCCGGGTTCCCAGCACCTTGTCCAGGCAATCACACAGCCCAGCTCAGCCCAGCACAGTACAGCTCAGCCCAGTACAGCCCAGCACAGCTCAGCCCAGCTCAGCCCAGTACAGCTCAGCCCAGTACAGCCCAGCACAGCTCAGCCCAGCTCAGCACAGCCCAGTACAGCTCAGCCCAGTACAGCCCAGCACAGCCCAGCTCAGCACAGCCCAGTACAGCTCAGCCCAGTACAGCTCAGCACAGCTCAGCCCAGCACAGCTCAGCCCAGCACAGCTCAGCACAACCCAGCTCAGCACAGCCCAGTACAGCCCAGCACAGCTTAGCCCAGCACAGCTCAGCACAGCTCAGCCCAGCACAGCTCAGCCCAGCTCAGCTCAGCACAAGCTCAGCACAGCTCAGCCCAGCACAGCCCAGCCCAGCACAGCCCAGCCCAGCCCAGCCCAGCCAGCACAGCCCAGCACAGCTCAGCCCAGCCCAGCTCAGCACAGCACAGCACAGCGCCTCTCTGCTCTGCCGCTGCAGTGCGGAGCGCCGATGTTGACCACCAGCCTGTTCTCCCCCCCACGCAGGTGCTGAAACCTCTCCTGCCTCTCGCCTCGCGATTTATCCACTCCCGAATCGCANTTTTTTTAGCCCGGGCTTTTTTTTACGCTTCATGCAATGCAATGAATGGCACTTGTGTGGTTCTGCGTTGCATTTGATCCCAAGTGCAGGGCAGGATTAAAGGAATTGTCGCTCGTGGCGACTATCCTACGTCCAGGAGCATTAAAAACAGATTTCTACAGATGAAGCATTGCTTCACGTACAGTATTTGTTTCAGGGATGATTGAAATAACATGAAATAATATGATTGAGTGACTCCTTTTTTTTTAATAGAGGAGAAATACAGTAGATATCCGACATCTGGAGTGCACAGAGGCATTTGGAAATCTCAACTGATAAGGTATTCTGAGAATGAAAATGAAGTGTTTGACAAAGTGATGGGCAAGAAGTGGCAAGAAAAGGCAGAGCGAGGGAGAAAAGATATTTCAGTGTAGTTCTCCATATGCTGTTACATTTTAGAGTGAATAGAATGGATCAGTCCTTTTCTCTATGAGTCAGTACATCCGTAATGTCATCCTAGACCTCTTTCTACAATACAATACAAAATTACATGTGTATTAGCGCCTTTCACATCAGGAGGACGTCCCAAGGCGCTGATAGGGCTTGTGATCTAGATAATTGCAACCAGCGAAAAACCATCATTGACACCATTTCAGACTGGGAGTTCCATGTATGTCAACCACACGTCGAAATTTCCCATTTGTCGAGAGTGGAAAGCCCACTCTCTCTCTCTCTGGAGGGTTGATTCCTGTTGACATAGTTTGGAGAGTTTTGGACGTAGGTTGGCAAGAGCCAAGGCTTGGGGTCCCCAGATTGCGTATTGGGGTACTACTGGAGTTTAACCCACTAAAATTGCATAGCTTTCCATTGTGAACACTGTCTGGTAAGCTTCCTGTTGTTTGTCCTACTGGACCCAACCTACCCGTTAGGGTTTTGTGACTCTTTGTGAGTCCAGATCACATATTTGGCCAGTATGCTTGGTCAACCTTTGATCTGAAAGTCTCTCCACTTCTTCAGTGGAGAGATCTTGCTCTCTGCCTGATCTTCCCCTGAAAACTATATGACCCAAATAAAAGGGAAGACATTATCATGCATAAAGGTTATGGGTAGGTTGGAGTCCTGTAGCTCAGTAGTTAGAGCACTCGCTTTCAAGCGAGAGACCTGAGTTCAATTCCAGCCAGGACGAAACCTTGGGCAAGTTTCCTTACTCCACATGCCTAATAATAATCCCTCCAAAACCAAAAACAATAATAAATTGGTCATTTTCAATCTATGACTGTTTGTGGGACATTGCTGTGCGCAATTGGCTGCCACGTTCGCCCACAAGTATAGTCAATTCAATTTACAGTGTGTTCTGTGAAGCACTTTGGGACGTCCTCCTGACGTGAAAAGCGCTATATCAAATGCAAGGATTATTATTATTATTATTATAAAACATTGCTAGAATGTAGAATACTTCAGCACAAATGGTAGTACAGTAAAGTACCTAATATAATATAAAAAACAATTTGATGAATATTTGAGAAAAAATATTAAAGGGATTGGGGAAAGAGGATAGGATTGCTAAATCAAATGCAAGGATTATTATTATTATGTGCAGCGCGCCAAGACGGAACTTCGCCTGCATGAAGGGGAGCTGTACAAGTGCAAGGTGTTGTTGCACCTGCCAAAGGATGGGTGGGGGGTGGGTGGGGTGATCTGGAGCTGGGTGGAGGATGGGATTACCAGAAATTAAAATATTGTTTGTAGCCCAAAAACAATCAAATACTAGGCACAAAAGTAGCCAAATATTATGTCTTGCCTCCTATGGGTAGCAGAGTGGTCAATTTACGTTAGTGCTTCTGAAACTCATAATAATAATCCTTGCATTTGATATAGTGCCTTATCGTGTCATTGAGAAGTCTCAAAGCGCTTCACATCATATATTGTAATGTGAGTTGACTGTATACATTGGGGGCAAAACATAGCAACCAAATTGCGCACAAACAGTCGTCGACTGAATGACCAAATTATTGTGTAAGGAAAGGTCTTCAAGAAAAAAAAATGTTTGGCACGTTTCAATAAGAAAAATCAGGCACCCATCCAAAGCCGTTTTCCACGCACAGAAACAACAACAACAACAAAAAAGCCCAACTGGGCGTGAAACCCGATCACCCAATCACCCCCATTCTCGTCCGACCTCCACACAAAGGAGATCCTTTTCAATTTCAAATTCAAGATCCTGGTCCTCACCTTCAAAGCCCCCCATGGCCTTAGCTTCCCTTTACCCTTGCGACTTCCTAACCCCCCCCCCCCCCCGCACCGCCCTGCCCGCTCCCTCCGCTCGGCGGGCTCCGGGCCTGCTTCACGTTCCCCGCCTTGCCCGCCCCACCCTTTGCGGGCGGGCGGGCGGGACTTCTGCCACTCTGCCCCCACCCTGTGGCAGTCCCTCCGCCTCGTCCCCTCCCTCACCACCTTCAAGACCCATCTCAAGACCCTCCTCTTCCACAGTGCCTTCGGTCACCCTCCTTCCCCCCACCACCACCCCACCCCACCCACCCACCCCACTCCAACCTCCCTGAACCCGATCCCCACCCCCCTCCCACCCCCACAGCTCGGGTCCGAAACACTGACTGCCTCTGAGCCGTCCTCCCGACGCGAAAGGCGCTCTAACGCAAACGTCGTTCTGTCGGTGGAGGCGAGAAGGTGGTGGTGGCGGCGGTGGCGGTGAGCAGAGAGCAGTGGCGGCCGGGAGCCGGGCAGGGGGCGCTGTGGGTGGAGCAGCGCCGCTCCTCTCGGGTCTCGCGTCTCGGTCGGCGCCGCGCAGTATTGTGGGACGTGTACACTTGCCCGTAGTAACGGGCGGCGCCGACACAACAAAGCCAGTGCCCGGCCCCCGGCCCCCGGCCCTGCCCTGTGCTCAGCCCCGGCCCCCCCCCCACCCCAGCACCGACCCCGCAGACATGCAGACCGAGGACGCCCGCTATTTGAAGAGGTCGGTGTCGCGGCGCTGAGTGACTCCTGTGGGTTTGGGGGTGAGGGGTTGTTGTGGGGAGGGGGGGTGGGGGGAGAGAGGGTGTTGTTGTCATGTCAACGGGAACCCCCACCAGGACTCGTTGCTGTCTGTCTGCGAGTCCCTTTGGCTGCTGATAGCTAATAGGCTCTTGCTTTCTGCCTTTCATCCCCTCTCCATCTCTCCTCTCTCACCATCACTATCTCTCCTCCTTCCTTCCATCACTCCCATCTTTCCTCCTCGCTCTCCCTCTTCCTCCCTTTTTGTTGCAGTTGTTGTTCCATCACTCCTCCTCCCTCTCTATCCCCCTCTCTATCCTCCCCACTCTCCATCACTCCACCTCCCTTTTTGTTGCAGTTGTTGTTCCATCACTCCTCCTCCCTCTCTATCCCCCTCTCTATCTTCCCCACTCTCCATCACTCCACCTCTCCTCTCTAGCCATCTCTCTATCTCTCCTCCCTCTCCCATCACTCCATCTCTGCCCCTACTCCATCACTCCATCTCTCCCCACCCATCACTCCCCACCCCCATCACTTCATCTCTCTATCTCTCCCCTTTCTCCCTCAACCTCTCCCTCCACCTCATCTCTATTTCTCCTCATTCTTCTTTTCATTGATCCTCCTCTCCACCCATCCCGCACCCACATGGTTTTGCTGTTACTTGTTCAGTTCCTTGCACCAAGCCTGGAGGTTTGCACTAAGATGCACTTTCACCTCTCTTTCCCTTCCAGACACACGCCTTTCCCTCCATCCCTTCCCTCTCCACCTGTCAATTCACTCCTCCTGAAGACTCATGCTGGATACAGTTCCTGCAAGCACCACATTCCCTCTGGTACTTCACTCCAACACTCCGGTGGAAAGTGTTGCTTTATCAGATTTACTGTCCTTCAAAAGAGACTTCAAATTGTCTGGCTGCCCACCCTATGTGGACATTATTAGCATCACATAACCTTGTGTGAAAATCAAATGATTTCTCCCTCTGTCTTGGCCTCTGTAGTCGGTCATTCACACCATGGCTGTGGGATCTTGCTTTGCTCAAATGGCTGCTCCATTTGCCTGCACATGAGTGAATAAATAGAACAGCAATTACTTTTTAAAGTGCTTTGTTACAGTTTGACATTGAAGATTCTGTAGAAATCGCAACCCAATGGCCAATCTTAATGTGTGAGCCCAAACTGAGTGTCAGTATCTGTAAATATTCAACAGCTGGAAGGCATCCTATCTGATGATCGCGTAGTGATCTGCAGTGACAACTCTGATCTGCAGTTTCTGCCTCTTCCTGCCTCCAAAGCTGTGGTACTGATCCTGCTCTTGGTAATATCAGCTATCTCAGCACAGCCTCAGTACATTCAAGTGAGCCCATGGTATAGAAATGGTGCCTGTGATCTTGTTTCTCACTAGACTATGTTGTAAAATTTAGAGGTTTACTATTATAATGTATAATTTTGTCTGTGAAACCAGGTACTGTACCCA